CCCCCGTTAGCAGCCATTCATTTTCCTATGCTGACCATTATCCACTGCTTTGTCTGTCCATCTGCTCTTCTCTCTCTTTGGGCTCTATCTCCATGTATCTTTTATTCCTTAACCCCTCCCCCCGACTCCGTTTTCTGCATAATAAACAACTTTTTCCTAGCTACCACCAGCTCTGAGGATGGGTTACTGGATCCAAAATGTTAACCCTGATTTCTCTCCACAGATGCTGCCAAACCTGCTGAGTTTTTCTAGCAATTTCTATTTTTGTTTACCAGAATCAGTCCAGGTATAGTGAGGTTTCATTAGAAGGGTACAGTGGGAAGTTTGGAATTGTTGTCCTCGGAGCAAAGATGATGTATGGAAGATTTGAAAGAAGTGCATATGATTATGGCAGGTTTACATAAGTTAGACAAGAAAAAGCTCTTCCCATTAGTCAATGGTAAAACATAGAGGGGACACAGATTTGCTGGGGTTATGTGTAAAAGAACATTTTTACACAGCGAGTTGTAACGACTAGAAACTCAGTGCCCATGAGGGTGGTAGAAGCAAAAGCAATTAATGATCTCAGGAGGAAATTTAATAGGCACTTAAAGAAGGTAGACGATCAGGGCCAAAAGCCTATAAGGCTCATTGTTATGTAGATCCAGACTGTAGGTTCACCATCGTTTCAAATGAAGTGTCATTACTTTGGCATGTTGACTTTGTGCAAGCTGCTATCATTTTCAACAGTGCAACGAAAGGGGAACTCCAGCTGGAAATCCCCAGCAAACATGGAGCTCATAAAATAAAATATAGGCAGAGAGGACAGCACATAGTGACAGAAAGAGAGTCAAAAATACATGCACACGTACGCAGAGAGGAATTCAGAAAGAAAGCAGAAAAGGAAGAAACAGACAGACCTGAGGCCGCGTAAAGAATGATACAAAAACATAGAGACAAGCACATACAGACAGAGGCACAGAGAGAGAATGACAGACAACAGACACAAGCACCAGGAGTGTGGAATTGGTATGCATGGAGAGAGAGAGACCTGTACAAAATGATAGATAGATAGATTTATGCAGAGCTACCCACAGCTACAGAGAGAGAGAGATACAAATAGAAAAAGACTAAGACACATGCACAGATATAGGTATGTGCACAGATTGAGACATTCTACAAAAACATACACTTGTGGTTCAATCTTTGTTCTTCCAAATCAGCATGAGACTTATATATATCTTACTTGCCTTACAGTTAGCTCTCAACTATGAAGCTCCAGATATATTCCTAACATTGTTTTCTACTGTCTTTCAGCTTACCTGGTTCACTATTCGTCTCCTTTCCACCATAGCTTCTTGAGCTGTTTGCTTTGACATAAACGCAATACCTTTTTTTGTATGAGCAGGTGAAAATGAAAGTAATTTAAAAGGGTTATTGTACACTTCCTTTAGGTTTCAGTTTAAATAAAAATCACTAGTTGAACTTTCAGTTTCAAAGGGCAAAGCAAGTCGAAAATGATCACTTGGGGCATTGACATTTCATGATTTTTCTTTCAGTTTATGTTGGGCACTTGCCCAAGGAAGTATGTGCAGTTAGAGTGAATTTGGTAATTGTGGCATCCAATTCGCTCCCCAACCCTGCCTATTCCATTCTGTTTCCTTAATAAAGTACCTCTACACTCCAGTGCCAATAGAGGGCACTGTCCTGCCAGAAGCGTCATTTTTTTCAGATGACCAATTAATCCCAATGGCCTTCTTTGTTAGTGATAAAAGACTCTACTCTATTTGCAGAGGGCCCTAGGAGTACTCTTCTGTGTCCTGACCAATACTTGGCCCTCAACAAGCATCATTAAAAGTGATTATCTTGACGTTTATCATGTGGCTTTCTGTGGAAACTTGCTATGTGCATATTGGCTGCCAAGTTTCATAAAGAAACTGATGTGAATTAATCTGCCGCTGGAGCACTCTGAACTCTAGTTTTGCTTTCTGAAAGAAAGGTTAACTATAGGCTTATTATGGCGGATTAGGAACGATACAGGGTAAATAGAGATGGAGCTGATTGAATATTGTGCAGAACAAGTCATGGAAAGCAAGCCGGTTTAACAAATCCAATGGATCAGTGTTTTGCTTACACAACGAAAAATGCAACATACTCCCGATGCTGGAAATCTGAATTGGCACACAGTCATTTGACCTGTAATCCAGACGTTCAAGTGAATAACCCAGGGACACATATTCAACTGCAGCTGGTGGAATTAAAAAAAAACTGGAATTAAAAAAGCTTTGTGGCTGTACTGGTTACCATGGCAACTCTGAAGTGGCCAAGCAAACCACTCCATTCCAGGGCCATAATGGATGGGCTACAAACCATCATGCTGCCAGCAATGCCCACATCCAACGCAAGAATGAAATAATGCTCGAAATACTCAGTGGGTCTGACAGCATCTGTGGAGACACAAACAGAGTTACCATCTGAAATGATAACTCTATCCTCCATCCACAGATGCTACCAGATCTGCTGAGTATTTTCAGTGTTTTTTTTATATTTATTTACCTGTTTTCTTCTGGGAATGCAGACATCATCACCAACAACTTACATTTACGTAGTGCCTTTGATGTAGTAGAACATCGCAAGTCACTTCACAGTGTTACTAAAAAGAATTTTACACTTTGCTATGTAATGAAGTATTAAGATATGGAAAAAAAGATCAAGGGACATGGTGCTAGTACAAGAAAATTGGGTGGAAATAGATGATCAGCCATGTTCTTTTGAATTGTGGAACAGGACTCAAGGGGCTGAATGGCCTACTTCTGTTCCTATTTCTTACATTCTTAGCATTCAAAGAGGTAGATTCTGAGGAGTCTTGTAAATGAGGTGTGTGAGATAAAGAGGGAAA